GTGTCAGTCTCCCTGTGACAGGGCGCAGAGCAGGGTCCAGGGTGACCTGCAAGGCGCGCACAGATGTGGAGTTACATAAGGGAAAGGGAAGATGAGCCCGAGTGGCCCCGAGCCGGGAGAGAAGCATGCCCACCCAGAGCTCAGGAGTTCCCTCAGGAGAGGGAGGGGGCAGCGGCAAGCCACTTGGAGCTGGACCACTGATGCCCCGGCAGACATCGCGGTGGGCCGGTTACGGCTGCAGCGGACAGGCGAGGTCACTGCGCTCCCAGCGCAGCCAGGGCAGCGGAGGCTGCGTGCGTTAGCGCCCGCGGGAGGGGTGGAGGAGGAGAGCCGGCGAGAGAGGCAGCGCCCCCTCCCTCCACACACGTGCTCAGATCCTCAGGGTCAAGGGCAGTCAGCGGGAGAGGCTTACCGCAGACAGACAGACACGCCCACGCTCAGACACACAGACTCCCACAGTCAGGGAAACAGTCACCCAGCATCAGGCAGGGACCCGCCAACAGTCAGACATCAGACAGCAGACAGGGAACAGTGCCCGAGGGAGAGGGAAGCCTAGACTGTGCTCTGTCACCAGCAGCTCACATCAGTGGACGTCTCAAAGAGGACGGAAATGCCGTGGTGGGGTGTGGGGGGGTGGGGGAAGACTGCTGGGGGCAGGGGCTGCAGAAGGACCCCAGGCGCTGCATCTGAGCCCCCCAGTGCTCACAGTAGCTTCTTGGCCATGTGGAGATCTGCCCTCTCTTCCAGCCTCAAGTGGTGATTCTGAAACTTTGGGGAGTGGGGGAAGGGATTCTCTCTGCTCCCCCTTGGCTGGTTGCAGAAGGGACCCCCCAGGTCCATGGCCCCAGCATGCCCACTGCTTCGTGGCTCCCAGGAGCCTGCTTGGGGTGGGATTCCAGCTCACCCCTTCGGCATGTCTCACAGACCTGCTCCCCTGGCAGGCTCCCAGTGTTCCCTTGCCCCACCCCCACTGGCTTGTGGGCAGGAGGTGTGCCTGGACCAGGTGGACCCCATCAGACCCACTGTTGAAGCCTGCTGTGGGTGGGGTGCTGGCAGGCTCCCTGTCTCACCCCAGCCCCGCTCCCCCAGGTCCAGCTCCTCCCACCACTCGGGAAGGAGGCTGACTTTAGCTGAGGTGCCATGAGACCACAGGAGATGGAGGTGGATGGGGTTTAGGAGGGGTCCCTTACAGGCTGGAGCCTCAGTGTCCCTTGTCAAAATGGGGAATATAAATGGCTGACTGCCCAGTATTGAGAGGCAGAGTCAATAGGAGTCTGTAAATTCCTTGTAAAGCCTCGCTCCAGCTGTGTCTGTCCCGGGGATTGCCTTTATTGTGGAGGCTCAAAGGAGGCTAACCAAGCCTGTGACAAGTGGAGGCTGGGACCCAAAGCAGAACAAGAACAGGGCACTGAAGTCCTACCTGCCATCCCCCCTCCTCCACCTTTTGTCCACAACTTCCCTGCCTTCTGTCCATCCTAAGAGCCAACTGGGCCAGACCCCTGGGGCAGAGGGCACTTCCCTAGTGGCCTCTATGTCAGCAGCTGGGCAAGGACAATTGGGCTCTACCGCCCCATGGTAGTTCTGGGGAATGCCCTTTCCACACTGAGGGTAGACAGGGTGCCCACATCCTGCAGGTCAGGTTCACAGGAAGTTTGAGAAGGAGGCTGAGCTCCAGGACCAAGGCCCTCTCCAAAGGGCCCACTGCTAGGGTGGACTTGTCTCAGATGCTGGTGCTGAGGACCCAACTGGGTGACCTCGGGGTGAGTTACCAAATTTCTGTGAGCTGGACATCTTCCTCTAAATGGAGTTCAACAGGAGCAGGGAAGGCTGAGGCTGGCTAGGGGTTTGGTAATGGTAGTGGCTGGCAGTGCTGAGCGCCCCTGTCATCCAGGCTCTCTGTCAGCACCCATGTGCACGACCTTATGAGGCCCAGAAGCCCTAATGGTGCGCAGGGCCCTTTGCCCCTATGCCAGACCTGCAGGCCGCCTGCCTGGGAGCACAGACCTGGAGGCCACTGACCCGGAAGACAAGCCCGAGTGGCCCCAGCCGGGAGAGAAGCATGCCCAACAGACACACTCCAACAGACATCCTCCTGGCCCAGCACCTTGAGCAGTTGGCCTCATAGGATGCAGGGAGAGCCCCCCACAGACAACACCTGTGAGGGTGGACACTGCCTGAGAGGACCCGGACCATGAATCCCAGAGCCTTCTTTTCCTGTCTGGTCCTGGGCACTGAGCCCGGGGCTCTGTCACTGAGCTACTTTTCGTGTTTTATCTTGAGGCAAGGTCCTCCTCAGTTGCCCGGCTGGCCTGGAACTCTGATCCTCCTGCCTCTGCCCCTCATTGCTGGGATGACACGTGTGGCCATCAGAGACCTTTCTCGGACAAGAGCTTTGGCGTAAGTGCCTGGATCCAGGGGCCGTGGCAGGAGAGCCCCCGCAGCGTCCCTCTCATGACCTACTGGGATTTTGTTCTGAAGCTGTGGGCTCTGCAGGGTTAGAGGTCCTTGTCCCCCCAGGGACCACACACTCAGGCGTGGGGTGAGGAGACAGGAGTCCACCTGGCAAGCAGGTCGAGTTCTTTGGGCCCAGGGACCAGCAGACAAGAAGATGGAGGAGAAGGGCTGGTGCCTCCCAGTGGGCAGGGCAGGGTAAGGGTGGGGTCCAGGGCCCACTTGGGCTCTGAGGTACTCTCCTGCCTGGCCGTTTCTGAGAATGGACGGTAGAGCCTGCAGAGGCACAGGGCCAGGGCTTAGACCCTAGCTGGGAGCATCACCCCACCTGCAGGGTGGCAGCAGGGAGGGGCAGGGGAGGCCTGGGTCACTGTCCTGCTCCCTGCCCTGTCCCTTCCCAGGCATCCTCAGCAAGCTCTGCGCTTCCAGGCCCATCTTGCACCTGCCTCTGGGAGGCCCACATTGACCTGGGTCCGGTTCTGAGAGTTAAGGGGTCAAGGAGCCTCCACCGAGAAAGAGACCCCTGGGCAGAGAGCTGGACAGGGAGGGAGAGGGGGCAGCAGGTGGGAGGGACAAGGTCGGAGGGTGTCTGGCTCTTCTACACACAGGGAGGCCAGCGTGAGTGGAGCAGAGAGCGGGGGGCGAGGGGCAGCTCATGCCACAGTGAGGCTCTCCCCGGGGTGGGATGGGGACTCCGGAGGGTTTGAGAGGCTTTTCACAGGACCCCTGGCTGCTGTGGGACAGAGGCCAGAACCAGGCGGAGGAGTGGGCAGTGCAGCTGAGGA